CATGCCATGTAGGAGCTGAGCAGTGGATCACAGCCAGCTGAACAGTGTAATGACCTGCAGCGTGTCCTGACAGGATGTAGTACCTGGACTCGGATGTAAAGAGCGGACCGTCCTCTCCCCGTCGACTTGATGGACCTCCGGATCTCCTCGGGTGTCAGGGTCTTTACTGTGAGAGGTGTCAGACTCCGGTGGGCGTCGACTGTGAACGCATCAAACTGTCCGTCAGCTGAGGGAAGGACGCCCTCAGGAGGTCCAGGAAGTCTGCCTCCTGCAGGCCTGAGGACACATGACCTCCTTCACCTGAGACTGAGACACTGAAACGCAAACACAGAAAACATTCAAAGAACAAACTGGATTTTTAGCTTCAGCCTTTAAGAGCCTCGAGGTGGCTTTTAGCTCTCACTGATTGGGTCACCAGGGGGGGTGGCCTCCTGTGGTCTGAGCCGGGCTGAACAAAGCTTCACTGAACACCTCCGACATCGTGACATCTCGTTTCTTACCTCCTCTTTTCAGGACGCTGATGGTGGAGTCCTCTAACAGACACACTGTGAGGTTTATAGAGGACGACTTCCTGCCTCTCATCTTCTCTGGCTCCTCCTCCTTTTCTTCCTCCTCGTCTTCTTCCTCAGCATGATCTAAACCGGCCCGGCTCCCCGAGTCCTCCCCACCTGAACCAAACCAGCAGACATAAGTTTTGTTTTATAAACATGAGAGGGAAAAGAGAACTGAAGTATTAAAGATCCTGAAAGTTCCAGACAACGTTTGAGCTGCTCGTCCTCCTCTTCTTCCTCTTCTTCTTCTTCTTCTTCTTCTTCTTCTTCTTCAGGTTCATCTGAATCACAGAATCAGGTTCAGTAAACTTCACCTGGACGGTTTCTGTTAGAGCACGATGATGTAAAGACTGTAAATAAATACTTTGCATGTGTTTCATACGACAGGTTCAGGGGAAGGTCGCGCACTCGGACCAATCAATGGATTTTTCTAAACTAGACGGTAGACATGAGTTTGTTTAGCCAATCAGCAAGCTCCTGTGATCGAGTAATGAAGCCAAAGTGTAACAACCTGCAGTTCCTGGAGTGTCCACTAGAGGCTGGCTGCAGAAGCACAGGAAGTCACACACACACCCATTCTAAAAAGCTGTTTTTACAGCAGAGATGAACATGTTTACAGCCTTTTCTTCTTTTTGTGTCATTAAAGAATTAAGATAAAAATATATAAACGTGTTGTTGTTATCTTCTGGATGTTATTGGCGAGGTTAGAAAGAGTAAATCATTTATTTTTTATTTTCCTGTTGAATAAGTGAACTGACTTGATAACTTCCCCACCTATCCGACACAGAGACACTCGAGGCTGCAGGATAGCCTCCAGCTGGATCCTCTGCCGGTCGATCTCCTGCCTCAGACCCGCCGCCTCCTCCTCGTAACCGGATACGGTTCTCTCCACAACCGCGAAGATTTCCCGCGCTGCCGTCGTCAGTTTCTCGGTAACGATTCCTCTCAGTAACTCAGTTTTAGAAAGTTTACAGTCCACCGAGGAAACAAATATCACGTTTACGGCTTCCATGTTTATACGTGTGTGCGCATAGTAATGTTGTCCGACTGAAAACAAACCAGACGAAAGGTTCCGCTCAAATTCTTCTTCTGTAATGTTTGAAATCACTGATGTTTTATATAAAGACTGCACCTCGTGGACTAATTATTAACTAACAAGTCAAAATAAATGTATTGTCTGCATGTGTATTTATGTGTTAATATATTTGCTTTAAGCATTTTTAGATATTTGAAACATGACCAAACTTTCTCTTTCTTTCTCTTTATCTATAAATCATACATTGCAGTCTGTTTTAAAGAAATACTTTTTAGTATTTTTGATGTCTTCATTGTTTTAGGAGCCTTAATGTTCCTCGTCTTGTCTGGACTGTGACATGCTGCAAGGGTTAATAAAGTTTGTATCTTTTTTTTTTTTAAAGATTTATTTTGGGCTTTTCGTGCCTTTAATGCAGAGAGAGGACAGTGGATAGAGTCAGAAACCAGAGAGAGAGAGGACAGTGGATAGAGTCAGAAACCAGAGAGAGAGGACAGTGGATAGAGTCAGAAACCAGAGAGAGAGAGAGGACAGTGGATAGAGTCTGAAACCAGAGAGAGAGAGGACAGTGGATAGAGTCAGAAACCAGAGAGAGAGAGGACAGTGGATAGAGTCTGAAACCAGAGAGAGAGAGGACAGTGGATAGAGTCTGAAACCAGAGAGAGAGAGGACAGTGGAGAGAGTCTGAAACCAGAGAGAGAGAGGACAGTGGATAGAGTCTGAAACCAGAGAGAGAGAGGACAGTGGATAGAGTCAGAAACCAGAGAGAGAGAGGACAGTGGATAGAGTCTGAAACCAGAGAGAGAGAGGACAGTGGATAGAGTCTGAAACCAGAGAGAGAGAGGACAGTGGATAGAGTCTGAAACCAGAGAGAGAGAGGACAGTGGATAGAGTCAGAAACCAGAGAGAGAGAGGACAGTGGATAGAGTCTGAAACCAGAGAGAGAGAGGACAGTGGATAGAGTCTGAAACCAGAGAGAGAGAGGACAGTGGATAGAGTCTGAAACCAGGGAGAGAGAGGACAGTGGATAGAGTCTGAAACCAGAGAGAGAGAGGACAGTGGATAGAGTCAGAAACCAGAGAGAGAGAGGACAGTGGATAGAGTCTGAAACCAGAGAGAGAGAGGACAGTGGATAGAGTCTGAAACCAGAGAGAGAGAGGACAGTGGATAGAGTCTGAAACCAGAGAGAGAGAGGACAGTGGATAGAGTCAGAAACCAGAGAGAGAGAGAGGACAGTGGATAGAGTCAGAAACCAGAGAGAGAGAGGACAGTGGATAGAGTCAGAAACCAGAGAGAGAGAGGACAGTGGATAGAGTCAGAAACCAGAGAGAGAGAGGACAGTGGATAGAGTCAGAAACCAGAGAGAGAGAGGACAGTGGATAGAGTCAGAAACCAGAGAGAGAGAGAGACAGTGGATAAGTCTGAAACCAGAGAGAGAGAGGACAGTGGATAGAGTCAGAAACCAGAGAGAGAGAGAGGACAGTGGATAGAGTCAGAAACCAGAGAGAGAGAGAGAGGACAGTGGATAAGTCTGAAACCAGAGAGAGAGAGAGGACAGTGGATAGAGTCAGAAACCAGAGAGAGAGAGAGGACAGTGGATAGAGTCAGAAACCAGAGAGAGAGAGAGAGACAGTGGATAGAGTCAGAAACCAGAGAGAGAGAGAGGACAGTGGATAGAGTCTGAAACCAGAGAGAGAGAGAGAGGACAGTGGATAGAGTCAGAAACCAGAGAGAGAGAGGACAGTGGATAAAGTCTGAAACCAGAGAGAGAGAGAGGACAGTGGATAAGTCTGAAACCAGAGAGAGAGAGAGAGGACAGTGGAGAGAGTCAGAAACCAGAGAGAGAGAGAGGACAGTGGATAGAGTCAGAAACCAGAGAGAGAGAGAGAGGACAGTGGATAAAGTCTGAAACCAGAGAGAGAGAGAGGACAGTGGATAAGTCTGAAACCAGAGAGAGAGAGGACAGTGGATAGAGTCAGAAACCAGAGAGAGAGAGAGGACAGTGGATAGAGTCAGAAACCAGAGAGAGAGAGAGGACAGTGGATAGAGTCAGAAACCAGAGAGAGAGAGGACAGTGGATAGAGTCAGAAACCAGAGAGAGAGGACAGTGGATAGAGTCTGAAACCAGAGAGAGAGAGAGGACAGTGGATAGAGTCAGAAACCAGAGAGAGAGAGAGGACAGTGGATAGAGTCAGAAACCAGAGAGAGAGAGGACAGTGGATAGAGTCAGAAACCAGAGAGAGAGAGAGGACAGTGGATAGAGTCAGAAACCAGAGAGAGAGAGGACAGTGGATAGAGTCAGAAACCAGAGAGAGAGAGAGGACAGTGGATAGAGTCAGAAACCAGAGAGAGAGAGAGGACAGTGGATAGAGTCTGAAACCAGAGAGAGAGAGCGGGGAATGACATGCGGAAAGGGGCCACAGGTGGAAGCGAACCCGGGCCTACCGCTCGAGACGAGAGTCTCAACAAATGGGACGCGACTGCCACTGCGCCACCAGCGCACCCCAAAGAAGTTTGTATCTATTCAAAATGTGTTTATACATTAAATTAATAAAGAAAAAGGAGGGGAAATACTAGGGCCAAACTGATATAATATTTTTGGAGCTGATGTCAATAAAAAAATCAGATACCAATATCTTTCTTAGATCTAAACATCGCACAAAAAGTCGGGAAATTTGTGTTTGGTAGATTATTTCTTTGTTGTAACAATTCTTGACAATAAATCTTAAACCGTTGGAAAGTCGGTTTATTTCCCTTTTTAAATGGTGCCACATTTGTAAGGAACATGTATTTGTGAGATAAGCAGCAGAGCTGACTATGTGGTTTGCGCCCTTGGAAAACTTGCCATGTTTATGTTCGAGCTGTAGAGATAGATTTACATCAAAAATCTGTAACAGTCGCCTCTTTTCAGACGTGAATTAGCTCTGCCGTCATCACGTCTTTGTACATTCATATTGATTCAAAGACGCCGTGATACTTGTGTCCAAGTCAGTGAAATCACATTGCGTTTCGTCAGCTCCACCTAAACACACAGTCAAACACACACACAGCGCTGCACTCCCTCGCCTCACATTCACCCTCAGAAACTTCACAAATACTGGTCTCCAGAGAGTGAAGATCTCATAGGCTTTGCTTCCGCTTATTCCAAACTGTTTAGCAAAGTCTGTAAACATCAACCAGGACGATGCCTCATTAGGACAAAGAACAGTTCATCATGGACTGCCAACGTGGTGATCCTTGGCTGAGGGAGAAAAGCCTATAGGCTGCACGAAAACCAGCAAGTCTTTACCGTCAGAGTCAGAGGCTGACATCGACAGGCCAGGATCAGTTTATGTTGCTCTGTCTGTCGTTGATAAGTTAGAACAGTAGGTGTGGTCTTTAACGTCCGGCAACTGGACGCCAACTTCACACTTCTGCTGAGGCTGATTTTCCAAATCCTCCGTTTTCACCGCTATTTCAGATTCCGTGACTTCCTGTTCAGCACGTGTGGTCACTATCGAGGGTTTAAGGCGTCTTTTCTTGGGAGGTGGTCTACCAGATGAAAACCCCTGAGGAACGACAGAGGGAGAAATAAATTAGCATATTTATTTATATCTTGCTGAAAAATTTCTATCTTGTTTAGCACCAATACACCAAGTCAAATGTGTAAATGTACTTGGCAATAAACCCTGATTCTGATTCTGAAAAAGGAATAAAAGATATGATCACCTCCCAAAAACAATGGAAGCAAACTTACAGGATGTTCATATCCCATGTGCAGGATCGGGTACGGGTGTGCTTTCCTTGGTTGGCCGTCCTTGAAGTGAATTCCACACACCTTAAAAGTGGAAGAGCAAAGAAGATGAGTAGCAAATACTTGACTTTAGTTTGTGATCCCTAACCACTTCCTGTTTCTGTGCTTAGGTTCCTGTCCTAACGTTCCATCTACCAGATGGCATTACTTTATTTCAAAATAAAAGCACACAGCAAGTAAAGTACTCTCAGCTTAAGACTGTATAAAAATTCAAAATAAAAGCCTAAGGGGCGCTGTTCGCGTAGTGGTAAATGCGTGCGCCCCATGTGCGGAGGTGGTGTTCCTCAGGGCAGGCAGTCCCCACTCTCTCTCTCCCTGAACTCCGGCTCTGTCCTCTGTCTGATCTCTACACTGAAGGCACAAAAAGCCTAAAAATAAAGCTCTAAAATAAATTAATTTCATTTTTAAATGCTAAATAACGGAATTTCAAACATCCGATTAATCTCAATTAACTATTGAAATTAAGCACTTAATCGTTTGATCGCCCTCATTATAACGATTGTGTTGGACGACCGGCGGCCAAACGGTGTCAGACTACAGACTAACGCTTACGTTAGCTTTGCTAGCTAAACGATGCTACTCGTTTCACCGTGCTCGGGTCAGCAGCTCAAAAGATTATTCATTGATAATCTTTGATAAAATTAAAATGATAAAAAAATAAAAAAAATAAAAAATAAAATATAAAATATATAAATAAATAAAATAAATAAATAAATAAATATATAATAAAAGTAAAATTAAATAAAAAATAAAACTGATAAAAAGATTATTCATTGTAAACGAAAACCCACCGTGCTGTGTCTACTGGGAACAAAGTCCTTCCTGTTGATGTTCTTGATCCACTGCTGGTGAACAGCCGCCTCCTCTGAACGCCCGGGGAATCTGTGCAAACCGTACGGTCTCAGGCACAGACACTCGTCGTGCAGTAAAGGTTTGTGTTCTGAGCACTCGCTTTTGTTCCAGACTTGGAGTTTGCCGCTGTTGTTGGAGCAGCCAATCACTGCACAGGATCTCCCCGAACGCCCTGACAGACAAGAGGACAAACGTTTACTTCTTCAGCTCACACAGCTTGCACTCAAACGCCACCGCAGTAATGGTGGCTCATCAACTTCCAGTTTCTCCAAGCAAAGTCTACAGACTCAGAACCAGCACAATGAGTTTCAAAGCACTTCCAACATCCTGACGCGTCGTCTTACCCGCCCGTTTGGGTTTCTTGACCTTGGCGTCCTGTAACAGACGCACTCTGAGGTTTAGATTAGCCCCTTTCCCACTCCTCTTCTCCAAAGTCCGACTTCTGCAAAGAAACAAATGAATCAAAGAAAGTCTCAAACAATCCTTCACTGAGTTCTGTGTATCAGTCAGAGCTGACGATGCATCATGTCTGAACCTTTTACTGGAGTTCTGATGATCCTGGTCCATCTCGTCTTTGTGACACAGGGGACCAAACGCCTCCTCGGGAAGCTCCTCCTCCCCCACATATTCACCCTCGTCTTCCTCAGTGTGGGCCAAGTTATCATAGGTCTTTAAGTCCTCCCCATCTGAACCAAAAGAAGAACAGAGCTCAGAATAACAACTTTTCAGTTTAAAAACATCAAATGTACTGAAACAGAACTCCAGTAAACAAACAGGACGTACGTGTCTGCTGCTCCTCCTCCTCCTCCTCTGATACTTCATCTCCCCAAAGCGCCTCCTCTTTACACACAGGTTCATCTGGATCACAGATAAAGGCTTCATTTATTTGTTCATGTATCTGTGTTCGTTTATTAGTGGTGTAACCACGCCTCACGCCATATGACAGCTGGATCATGTCCAGCCCCCCCGAGAGGGAGAAACGATTTCTAGATTTATTCACCAGTCGAACATCGTTTCATCTGCTGAGTGACCATCTTGTCTTCATTATAAATCTTTTCCACAAGATGTTTGATAACTGAGGGATAAACACAATCAATAAATCTCTCTACAGATCTAAGAAAGAAATCGGCCGATCTGTCGGTATCAGATTTTTTCTCTTCCTAATATCGATATCAGTCGGCCCTGTATTTATTACTGTTGTTATTCTGTTTTACTGGTGGGACCGCTGCTGGTGGAGTTGGTCGTCTGTGAACAGGAAGTTGGGGGTTTGATCCCCAGCTCCTGCAGCAACATGTCCGATGTGTTGCTCCTGCTGCTTTGTTAGAGGTGTATGAATGTTTATGAATGGATGAGTTAATACTGATGGACTCTTCAATTCGTTTTCATTTCCCTAAAGTTAAATACATGAGTGCAAACTTGCCAGAAAGCTTTAAGCTTTAACTAGAACTCAATAACCAACCAATGTGTCGTACATCTCGAGGACTCAATAAGACACCGTGGAGTCAAATTATGGAACACACATATTTATTTACTTAATGATCTTTTGTCTTTTTCTAAAATACAAATTGAGACTCAGAAAGATTTGTAGTGAATAGTGAATTGTCCTGATTTTGTTATATTGTCTACATACTGTATGTCCTGCTTTGCTCTATTTTTATGTTTTCAATGTTTGTATTATTTGTGATACTAATGATTCTTACTTTGTTATTTTTTACTGTATTTTATTTTAACTTTGTTTAATCTCTTAAATTGAGGTTTTGAGATAAACCCTCACCTGCACATGTGTTTTATTTTTTATTTGTTTGAATTTTCTGTTTGACTCTTCTTTCAAAAAATGTGCAAATAAATTAAACTAAACTAATAAACTTTATTTAGTTTATTTAGTTTCCCCTCTGGGGATCAATAAAGTACTATCCTAAACTAAAACTAAATAAACTAAACTAAATAAACTAAAATTAAATAAACTAAACTAAATAAACTAAACTAAATAAACTAAACTAAATTAAATAAACTAAACTAAACAAAATTAAATAAACTAAACTAAACAAAATTAAATAAACTAAACTAAACAAAATTAAATAAACTAAACTAAATAAACTAAACTAAACAAATTAAATAAACTAAACTAAATAAACTAAATAAACTAAACTAAACAAACTAAATAAACTAAACTAAACAAACTAAACTAAACTAAACAAACTAAATAAACTAAACTAAACAAACTAAACTAAACTAAACAAACTAAATAAACTAAACTAAACAAACTAAATAAACTAAACAAACTAAATAAACTAAACTAAGCAAACTAAACTAAACTAAATAAACTAAATAAACTAAACTAAACAAACTAAATAAACTAAACTAAATAAACTAAACTAAATAAACTAAATAAACTAAACTAAACAAACTAAATAAACTAAACTAAATAAACTAAACTAAACTAAACTAAACAAACTAAACTTTGCTTTCTGTCCTCGCCTGGCTCTTTTATGTGTCGTTACCCAAAGTGACCACATGGGGGCGTCAGAGCTCCTGTGTTTGCCTGGTCTCTCGGTTGTCCCTGATCCTGTGATTTATAAAGTTTTATAAGTCTGAATTTCACAAACAAGCTGAACATGAGGAGACCTGAAGATGATGTTCTGATGACTGGAAGTTCATAAAGAGGAGTTCACTTCCCCACCTATCCGACACAGAGACACTCGAGGCTGCAGGATAGCCTCCAGCTGGATCCTCTGCCGGTCGATCTCCTGCCTCAGACCCGCCGCCTCCTCCTCCTAACCGGATACGGTTCTCTCCACAACCGCCAAGATTTCCCGCGCTGCCGTCGTCAGTTTCTCGGTAACGATTCCTCTCAGTAACTCAGTTTTAGAAAGTTTACAGTCCATAAAGTCCACAGGAGAAACAGCCATCACCTTAACTCCCTCCATTTTTGTCATCATGCGCTTAATGTTGTCCGAGTGAAAAAAAGCAACCGGATGAAAGGTTCCGGGTTCCGCTACACTTCTTCTTCTGTGGTGTTTAATGGCATGTTGCATTACCGCCACCTACTGAGACCTGGAGAGAATAACACTTCTGATATTAACATGAACTCTTCTTCTGTTTGATTTGTAAACCAGCAAATCAAAATGTGTTAAATGAAGGTACGATGTGTTGTTGTTTTTATGTTTATTACATTCTAATATCTGAAAACATGAAAGTTTAAAAAGACAAGAAAAGATTTTAATATTATAATAATATAATATAAACACACACACACACACACACACACACACACACACACACACACACACACACACACACACACACACACACACACACATGTAGTAACAGCTGAAGCAGATTTACAACGCCATGGCTCTCAACACGTTAAGGAGTTTTAAACGCCGTGAGAACTCGGTCTCAGGACGACCACTTCATGAAGGTCTCGTCTCGGATCAAAAGCAGTTACTCGGTCTGGTCTTGGTCTCAGACTGGGCGGTCTTGACCTGCCTTGGTCCTGGTGTTGCCTCAGGTCTCGGAGCTCTCTGGTCTGGGGTCTTGGTCTCTGTTAGTGCGGTCTACCATAACCACAGACTGCACTCAGTTTAGACTCTTTCTTCTTCATCGTAGATCGTAGATCGTTGGCCTGGGCTGCTGAAAGTTGTCAGAACGTCTCGTTCAGAGCAGCAAAACCACGTCCCGGGATCTTGCCAACATCTGAGCATCTCAGCCGACGTTTAGTCCAGACCTCCAACATCGCAACATGATATCTATGAACACAACAGATCTCGTTTCATAAAGAAACATTAAAGGCTTTATATGTGATATTTTTTGATCCAGCAGATGTCGCCCTTGAGCACCAGCATGAACCAAAACAACTCACGCTGCATTGTTGTGTTAGCATGCTAATGCTAGCGATCTTTATTATGCTGGTATCTTCACACTGCATGTAAATTTACCTGAAATGAGCGTGATCTAGAAACACAGTTAAGCAGTGAGTACAGTATGTTATTCTTCTTTTCTCTAGTCCCTCAATTAAACAACTTTTATACACGAGGGGAGGAGTCAGCCGGCCGTCCGGCGATGTAAACAAAGTGAAGATAGGACTCTGAAAACTCTGAAAACATCACAGACAGTGGGACTCGGGTGTTACACCCATTGTAGACAGTCATGACTCACAGAGTTATTTTCAGAGGAGATACTTGATTTATATATTTAAGTGTTAAAAACATATAAAGACTTTAACACTTTGATGTTACCAACTCTGATCTGTGAATGTTCACACTCCAACCACATGTGGTCACGTCTATGTTCACAGAATAACAAAGGTGGATACAGATTTATATTTTGGATAATGTTTGAACGTCTGCACACGACCCTAAAGAGTTCAGTCCGTGGGTCCGCCCCCCACTGACTCCGCCCCCCTCTGGTGCCTCTTCATGTGCGTCTTCATGGAGTGGCTCTGAGTGAAGCCTCTCCCACACACGGTGCACTTGTACGGTTTCTCTCCATCGTGGGTCCTCATGTGGTTGTTCAGGTGTTCTTTACGGAAGAACGCCTTCCCGCACACCTGACACACGTGAGGTTTGACGCCCGAGTGGAACTTGAGGTGGAAGCTGAGGTGACCGTTACAGATGTACGTGCGTCCACACTTGTAGCACTTGAAGGGTCTCTCTCCGCTGTGGACCCTCATGTGTCGCTTCATGTGCGCACTCGATGATAACGCCTTCCCGCACACGCTGCACACGATCTTCTCCTCGCTGTGCGTCTTCAGGTGAGCGTTCAGCTGACCTCGCGTCTGGAACATCTTACAGCAGACGTCACAGAGGTGCATCGGGTTTCTGTCCGCGTGACTCTTCTCGTGCCGCACAACTTCTCCTCGGGTTAAAAAGTGCTTCCCGCAGACCGGACAGTCGTGGCGTTTCCCCGCGGAGTGGAACAGCTTGTGTCGGGATAACGCTCGCAGATCGCGGAGGGATTTCCCGCACAGGTTGCAGGTGTACGGTTTCTCTCCCGTGTGCAGCCGGCTGTGGATCCTCAGCAGCTCTTTGAACTTAAACGACTTGTTACACACTTCACATCTGAACGGTTTCTCCTGCGTGTGTCTCGACTGATGAGTCCTCAACGTGCTCTTGAAGGAGAACGTCTTGTTGCAGACGTCACATCTGAACGGTTTCTCCCCCGTGTGTTGGAAAGAATGACCCTGCAGACTGTAGACCGACAGGAACTTCTTCCCACAGACGTCACAGCTGAATGTTTTCTTGTGACTCTCCAGATGAGTCCTCAGCTCCTCTGGAGTCTCTGACTGTTCTCCACAGACTCCACACAGTCTCTCTGGATCCTCCACGTGACTCCACGAGTGTTTGATCAACTTGTTCATCGTGGCGCTCAGAGCCGGGCAGACTCTGCAGGACAGGGGAACGCCGCTGGTCTCAGCCGACGCCTTCAGAGGCGACTCGGTCTGTTTCCTCTGTGAGGACTCAGGTTTGGGTTTCCTCTCTTCGATGTCTGGTTTCCACTCTTCATCTCTGTCATCATCGTCTTCACTCTCGCTGTCGGCTGCAGAGCCGGCTGACGTCAGGGCGCTGAAGTCCTCCGACACTTCACGCTGCTCCACGTCTTCCTCTGATTTCACTCGTTGTCGTCCAGAGTGGCCGGAGAGACAATCAGATTCAACGATCTGCGCTCCTTCTACACGACTGTTCTGGGAACTGAAGGTAGAAAAAAAGCAGTTTCTCTAATTTAAATAAACCTTCATGTGGATTCTTTATCTTCTGAGAGAGAGACGAGTCACCTTCCACTCACCTCACACTCGGCCTCTCTTCTTCATTTCTTGAGTCATCGTCTGCGTACTCTTTGGTCCCTGAAGGGGGAAGTCGCTCCGGGCTGCTCCGGGGTTCATTTGTTGCCTGAAATATTTGAAGAGTTAAAATTCAAATGACTGAAATCCTCACATGTACGATCACTCTTGTGTTAGAGGATCTCAGACGAGCTACATCAGTATCTTCTTTTAAAAACACATTTTTATGGTAAGGCCTTCTTATAATCCTTGTTCATCCAGGATGTTTTATTTTTTTACTGTTAACTTTAGCCGATCTTTGTCTCAGTTGTTTCTCTTTTCTCTGTTTATTGGATGATCGCTGCGCTGTTGTTTTATTTTTCATGCTTTTAGGATTTTATTGTTGTGTATTTGACTGTTGGGATTTTTCTTTTTTCTTTAAAGCACTTTGTGACGTTGGTTTTGATAAGTGCTTTATAAATAAACTTTATTATTATATCATAGAAGTAGCGGTTGACTGATGAGTGAAGCTACAAATGTAAATCCTCAACAAACTCCAGTTGTGTTTTTATGGTAATCAGGGATCACCGAGATCAACAGAGTCAAAATCCTGAAGATGTGATTGGATGAAGGAGATGTTCTACCTTCACTCGGATGTACAGAGCGGAGCGTCCTTTCCCCGTGGATCTGATGGACTGTTGGATCTCCTCTGGGGTCAGGGTCTGTAGTTTCAGTGGTGTCAGTTTCTTGCTGGGATCCATCGTGAACACATCAAACTGTCCCGTCAGCTGAGGGAAGGACGCCCTCAGGAGGTCCAGGAAATCGACCTCCTGCAGACCTCGAGGACATTTCACCTCCTTCCACTGAGACTTCAACACTGAAACACAAACAAACAAACAAACAAACTCTCAACTGAGACTGCACTGATAATAAAGTTCAGTGTTTAAACATAAACAGACTGCTGACAAGTTCCAGGGTGTAACCCCGCCTCTCAACCAATCACAGCTGAGATCAGCTCCAGCCCCCGCCCCCGTGAACCCGAAGGTGAAAAAGCGGTTTAGAGAATTTATCATTTCTTTGCTGTGATGATTCCAGGAACATCACTGAGTCTCCGCCCACTCTGAGGTGAATAAACAGGAAGTTCAACACATCAACACACGACTGACTGTTTCCCGTCTTACCGCCTCGTTGGAGTTTGTCAGCGTTGGAGTCCGGTAACAGACAGACTCGGAGGTTCAGGTGAGAAGTCTTCCTGCACCTTTTCTTCAAAGTCGGGTTTCTGCGAAGAAAAAAAAAACAAATCAAAGAAAGACTCAAACGATCGTTCACTGAGGCCGAGTTCCAAACCGCCTATGACTTCCTACTGTCGACGCTGTATGCAGAATGTTCTGCATTAGACGTAGGACAGCAGTCTGACCTCTGACCTCCAGTCTGTTGTTACTCTGCAGTACAACAGGCTAAAGCTGGTTTCTGGTCTTGGAATGAGGAAGTAAACAACAGCCCAGGCGACGTCAAATGCTGTTACAGTGTAGCGTCCACATAGAGTCTGAAACAAGCTGACGAGAGATTCATTTAGTTTCATGATTTAGAGAATCTTCTTCTTCTTCTGTTGGTTTTTATGGCGGTTGGCGTCCATAAGCGTTGCGTTTCCGCCACCTGCTGGACGTCCATTTAATTCAATCTCTGACCTCGCTTTGCATTGTGGGAAACAGTACTGGTCTTCATCCTGTAGCTTTCCCCCAATCAGTACGACCTCCGGCTACTTAAATCATTCTGCGGAGAACACATTTGTTGTTATTCTGCATTTTAAACAAATCAGAACGGACTACCACTGAAGCGGGCGGTTTAGAAGACGGCCTCTGTTCTGTGTCTCAGATCTCAGAGCAGACATCACGTCATGTTTGAACCTTTTACTTGATATCTGATAATCTGGGTCCCTCTTGTCTTTGTGACACGAGCGACCCAACGCCTCCCCAGCAAACTCGTCTTCACCCTCGTCTTCCTCAGTGTGGACGAAGACATCGTAGGTCCCCGAGTCCTCGCCATCTGAACCAGAAGAGGAAAAACAACAGGACTCACTTCTAAGAATATAATGATCGTTAATAAAAACAGGAAAACATCAAACGTACAGAAACAGAAGTTAAACAAACAGGACGTACGTGTCTGCTCCTCGTCCTC